TATCAAAGAAATTAACGTTCTAGCAACTTTTGCTGTTTTTGCAGAAATTCTTATTCGTATAGACGATAAACATTTATTCTTTTATATTGCAGTATCTTTTATGAGTAAGGAAAACTTAAGAAAAACAAATGAAATCAGCCACTAAGAAATAAATTGCGTGAATCAGTCATTCTCGAACGAGTCATTCTCGACTCATTCACTAATTTAACAGAAATTTATATATATTTTTTTTTAAAGAATTATTTTATGAATTATGTGAGCAGGCAGTTCTTGTTAATTTTCAATTGAGAATGTCAAATAATTTAAAGTGATGATTCGTTCGTTAGACTAATAAAAAATAATAAATTTATTTATTTTGCTCAAACGCAGTTTTTGCCCAGTTTTCGTATGCCAAATTTTATATGTAGATAGATCTATATCTATAATGAATATATCATAAATGGTTGCCGTTAATTAAAATTAATTATTATAATTTAAATGAATGCGCATAATTGAACTAAAAACATACCAATTATCTTTTCTTTTCATTTGTAAACATCACAAATCAATACTCTGAACTTGAAGAATTCATTCAGTAAAATGAATGAATTTTTCTTTTTTTCATTTAGTAAATAGTATATTTGCGATTTTAAATAAAAATATCCACTTGTGGAAATATAAAATCAAGGTGTAAGCCCATTTGAGCAGCAATCATTAATGCCGGTTAACTGTCTGAACTTGGCTCATAAATTCATTTAATTTTTTCAACAGTTACGTTAATGTTTTTCATTTTTATCTTTTATTTACTATACTTTTGTATATATGTACATATATACACTTATACTTATAAGATATATACATAAATGTAACTATGAATTATTTTTTTTAACTTGCACGTTTGCTTACTTTTCGTTAAAGAGTTGCGCATGTGCATAATTATTCAATGTATCTACACAACTTGTATGTTGTTTTTTTTTTTTGTATCTTTGCGTTACTTTTTTATATTTTTGGTGTAATCCGAGCTTGCATTGTAAAGTCTATAACTCACTGGTGAGTTTGTGTGCTTTTTTAAGCTGTTCACCTTTTCAGTTTTTAATTATACGACTAAACTCAACTTTCACTTAAACCGCTTTGCAACACTGGCAAGTGCATTCATTTTAATTTGAAATGTGCTTACTTTTTGCCGACTGCATATTAGATTCGTTGCATTATAAAAATTTAATCTATTTTCACATATTTTCCAACTGCTATATGTTAGTTGTATGTGGTGTATAGGGTTAAAGGTTTATTAGGGTACGTGTAGGGTTAATTACAGTGTTTGTTTTATGTTATGTTTTGATTTTAATGATATTTTAATATATATATAAAATTGTTAGTTGATATTGAGTATGTGGAGTACTAAAGACACCCGTCAACACTATTTGTAACTTAATATTCTTATTTCTTCATTATCTACATATTCAATTTCTAATATTAATGAACTTATAAAAAGAGTGTGTAGCATAAGTTTTCATTTATCAAAATATATCGTTAACAATTTCATCACACATCACACATTTCATCATAGCAGGCTCTATTACATAGCGCCATTTTATTGCTAATAACTAATATTTTCCAGTTACGATATCTGTTAAAATAGTAAAGCTGGACGAATACTATTTTCCTTAATTTTGTCTTCTAAAATAATCTGTAGCAGTTAATATTTTTGATTTCTTATATATTTATAATAAAATAAGTGAAAGCCAAAGTACCTGCTAACAGCACCAAAAACTGCGTAAAACGTAAAGTAGATAATAGCATAATTATAAGTAGATAATTTAGCATAATTATATTTTATTAAATATATATATATTAATTACCTATATATTAAATTAATTTATTTGTATAGTAATTATTTGATTGTATTTTATATTTTGGTATATAATTGCTTATATAGGTATACAGTATTTTTTTGCTAAAATCTAATTGGAAGGGGCAGGAAAAATAGTTTTGTTTTAAGAAAAGGTTGCTTTAAATCTATATACTTTTCTGATTTCGAGATAGACATAACGGCATAACTGAGAATAAAAATGAGTTTACTTCATTTTTCGTAAAGGTGTTTCGTTAAAATTGGGTATATGGATCATATACATAATAGGGAAAATAACATAGGTAATAAATTTTATTATGGTAAGAAAGTTTCAGATGTAGATGTATTGTTTAGATATAAGCTTTTTATAACAAAAAAACTCCGAATTTATGGTCGGGGTTGTCTAGAACCAGTCTTAAGGTATTGGGTGCCATACTCTTTTAAACAGACTCTGCGATATTTCCAGTATTAACATTCCATTTATCAATGCTTTAGCTGCATCTAATCTAACTTACTCTATTGAAATGTGTTTAATTGAGATTTTCAATTACTTTTTTTTAATTGTGTGTAAAAGATATGTAAGATTATCTAGAAATACAATCTAATTATAATATAATTATTATATTATATTTACAATTGGCACTCTACACTTTATTTAGCAAAACGCTATATCTGAAACTAAACCCTTTTCTCCCTTATTATCTTGTACAAAATTGTCCGTAGGAAATAGTAAATATAATGTAATACTCGTAATAATATATTTACTTTCTTTTGAAAGTCAACATTGCCGAATGTAGTTTCCAAGTGCGTCCAAGTTTGTTTACATTTTTTTAGTTTCAAGGAAAATGTGCGAAAAGTTGTTTATCTGATAATTTGCTTGTTTTGTGAAAAATGTAATGTGTTTTTTAATAAATTTGGAATGTTGAATGGCTTTTTAGTAGACATTTGCAGACATGTTTTATTATCCAAAAAGGAATATGTGAATGAAAAAAATTTTTGAAGAATAGTTTTGTGTTTTTATTATTCTCATTGCCATTATTTTCAGTTAAAATAGTTGTCTATCAAAGCTAATTAATGGACTTTAAAATGTTTTTAAAAGTAACCTTCAATATAGTAAAATTTCTGTATTCTCTAATAAACCCGTTCCCTTTGAAAATCATACTGAAATAATTATTACAACTTTTTTCCCATTAGTATCTCAAAATATAGCAGTTATTAAGAAAATAAATATTTTACTTAATTATTAGTTAATTATGTACTAATACAATATGTGCAAGATTGTTAATATATAAACAAATTTATTTATAATAACATGTTAATATTCATAATATGATATTTTTAAAAGTATAGAATTCAATTTCATAAACAGTATTAATTATTATGTTAGTAAAATGTTAAGATTCAGCTTAATTTAGTAACACTCACAATTTTTGCTATATAAAAATTAAATTGAAATTGTAAAATAAGTGAAGAAGATATTTTTGATATGCTCTTCTAATGCAATTTTCATTTGCGATTGGTAAATGTGGGGCAAAATGTATAGCACTTAAGATTAATTTATAACATTCTAGACATTTTGCCAGAGTAGCCAAATTACCCTAAAATAATCAGCTGTTTTATTTGATTTGACAGATAAAGTATGATTTCATTTGACATATGTATTTATAAAAAATATAAATGCCCAATAACACTACCATTAAAATGTTATAATACCCTAAAACTGCTCGATTGGTCAACAAAATTTGACAGATCAAGAGTATACTCAGATTGAATTCAAATTTGTAACTCGAAAACGCCATATACAATAATTTAATCTATATATCAACATTAAAATCGAATTATGTCTTCTATACAAAAATTAGTTTCAAATATTTAAATAAATGAATGTATTTTGTCTTAGTTATGTATATGACTCAGTTAAAAATCATCTTTTAATCTATATAAGCATTAATTAAAGAAATCTCTTCGATACAAAAGTTGATGAAAAAATCAAAATAAATGAAAGTTTTTTCTTCATATATTTTTATCATCATTTATTCTATATTAGTTATAAATGAAGATATTTGTACAAAAATTAGTTTGAAGTAACATAATAAAAAAAATCATTTCTTTAATTTTTTTATACAAAAATATATAAATGAATAACCGATCATTTAGAATTATTTTTTAGGCAGTACATATTATGATAGTTACTCTTTTTTTTTATACTCAACATAATGTAACATTTATACTATTTTCCAAACAGTACATGTTATAACAATTATACCTTTTTACTTGCAAAACATGATATAACAGTTATGTACTATTTTCAAATAAAACATGGTATAACAGTTATGTACTATTTTCAAATAGAACGTGTATAACAGTTATGTACTATTTTCAAATAGAACATGATATAACAGTTATTTACTATTTTCAAATAGAACATGGTATAACAGTTATATACTATTTTAAAGTAGAACATGATATAATTGTGATGTACTCTTTTCAAATAAAACATGTTATAACAGTTATGTACTATTGTCAAATAGAACAAGATATATCAGTTATGTACTATTTTCAAATAAAACATGGTATAACAGTTATGCACTATTTTCAAATAGAACATGATATAACAGTTATGTACTATTTTCAAATAGAACGCGTATAATAGTTATGTGATATTTTCAAATAAAACATGGTATAATAGTTATGTACTATTTTCAAATAGAACATGATATAACAGTTATGTACTATTTTCAAATAGAACATGGTATAACAGTTATATATTATTTTCAAATAGAACATGACATAACAGTTATATCATTTGTCAGACTGATCATAGTATAACATAACCTTATTAAAAATAGATTATACTCGTATATATTTTAAATTATTGTATTATTTTAATTTTATAATAATATAAGTATGTACCTAAAATTTTAAATTAAAAAAAATTCGTTTCATGTGAATTATTAACCAATTCATTAGTTTTACACAAAAATTTAATCTAAATGATTTTAGCAAATGAATAGTGTAAAAAATTTAATAAAATAAGTTTATTATATTACTAAATTTAATTAAAAATTATATTCGATTTCATATTTCTGCAATTTTATTAAGTTTCCATAACAAAAGCCAACATGAAGTGTTTTGAAATAACAATTAATAACATATTAAATTAATTTTATAGAAACCAGTGAAAGTAAGCATATCATATAAGAGTAAAATTAAAAAAAATTAAATTATTTAAAAATGAATTATTATCGCTTTAGCATTTACGTAAATAATTAACGAAGTGTGTTTAAAATGAAAGTGCAAAATATTTAAATTTGTCTTCCCACTAAAAAGAAAATAATAATTTGTTTAAAAAATAAACAAACTATTTACTTAGTGCCACGCTAACCACCTAATAATCCCTTAAAATATTTGACAGGGATTAGGAAACCAAATTTTATTTGAAAAAAATTAAAAAAAATCATGTCAAGTCAACCTGCAAGCCAGCCTGATAGCATCGACCTAGCCTATGATATGTGGGCTGGCCAATTTGAATTTGTCGGACCTGCAACGAAAACAACAATAACGAGCAACAATAATAACAATAACAAAAGCATATTAAATAATAATTTAAAATTCGGTGATGATAAAAACGCTAGTCATAAACGTTCGACAGATAGTTTGGAAGATTTGAATTTGAATTTTAACACAACGCCCTCGCAGAATTCTATGAACAGCAGCGCCTATACGCTGGGTAGTTCTTGCAGTGAGCACTACGATTTCGGCAAGCAACCAATACTCATCGATCACGAAACTTTTCTCAGTTTAAATCCGAACGATTTTGACGACATTGTGCCATCGGGTCCGAATTCGCTTGTTTTCATTGAAAATAAATTGAATGCGGACAATTGTCCAATAAGTGAAAGTAATAATAACAAAATAGTGAGTCTGGAAGCCCTAACCAGCAAATTCAATAATTGCAATAAAACCAACAACACAAATACGAACGGTTTCAAATTGGAAAACCTTAAAAATTTCAAAAATAAATTGCTTTGTGATTTCGAGGAGAAAAGTGTGGTCGGAGTTGGCAGCACTGATAGCAACAAAATGAATGGCTTAAGTGCAGAGATTTGTGAAAATTTTAATGAGCAAGTAAGCATTTAATGAATTCAAATTAACGTGATAAATTAGCATGTAAACAGAAAATTTAAATTCCTTCACTTACTCTTACATAGATAAAGTTATATTAAAAAACATCAACAAATTTATATATGTTTATTATTATTATTAAATGTTTATTATTTTGTATATTTTTATTTTATGTTTCAGTTATTAAATATAACAATAAATTAATAATATAACACATAAATGCATTAGAGCCAATGCTGCTCATCTGAGTCGTGACTAAATTATAAAAGATTACAACATAAAACTGACCTATATATATTAGAATAATCAATACATAATAATCACTACCGAAAGATGAGGAAGTCAACTTTTTTATTATTATCATTATTATTATTTATACCAGCACAAAGTTGTATATTATTGCAGGAAACTTTAGGTTAGTTATCCTCTACAGATTCCATGAATTGCGTCCTATATGCATGAATCTGTTATTTGCAGACTAATGTTATGGTGTTTGTTTACGTTCATATATAAATTTTCATTCGATATGGTATAGTTATTTCTTTTATAGTATATTTTATATGTATGGGGGAAAAGCATCAAAAGACTCAGTATAAAGTCTAAACGTACTAAAACTACTTCTTTAGAATGCATAGAAAATGAAACATGAAAAATTTAAAAGACAACCTAAATATATATAGAAAATTTACGTAAATCATGAAAAAATCCAACTGTTGGAAGCTTTCTTTTAATTTGTGGATTTTTATACCCACGGATAGAGGTATAAATATGTACTATCTCATCACAATAGAGGTTCAAATATTGTGGCGGTTTAATCATAAAAAAATGAAGATTTCCTAAGATAGTTGCTTAATTTGAAGTAAGTGAGGAAGTGTTTTAATCCTAAGAAACTGAAGAATAGCAGAAAATAGTTGCTTAACTTAAATACTATAAGCGTTAACGTAAGACAGTGTAGTCTGGAACGATAATTGCGGCTAAAAGACATCATATATTTAATTTTCTTTGCTTAGAATAGAATAAAAGAATTGAAATATAAGATATTAATAGAATATATTAATGGAAGATACTAATAGAAGATATTAATAAAAGGTATTAATAGAAGTTATTAATAGGAGATATTAATGGAAGGTATTAATAAAAGATGTTAATAGAAGATATTAATAGAAGAAATTAATAGAAAACTATTTGCGATTATATTTATAAATCTCTATTTAGCAAAAAGTTGCCTAGGAGCAGATTGAAAGAACTGAAGATATGATGGCACAAATAAAGTTTTTATAGCTGCTGCAAAGAAGCTTGGAATTTAAATTAGGTAGAGTAATATCTACACGGTTCGAATTTGAATATTAACTGCCAGAAAGTGCCGAGCTGAATGTTTATGTTAATATGAAGAACTAACTTCTGATCTGTGTATTATATAACCTTCTGATATCTTAGTTTTAGAAGAATTGAATAGAAAAACTTCTGAAATTGATAGTTAGCTAGTTTTTATAATATTAACATATATTGATATGTCATTTTGGAGGTTAATATCTCTAGAATGGTGTCTTCCACAATCAATTGGGTTGGTGTTTCGAATTGTATGTAGCATAATTTAGTTTAACCTTTTTATTGAGCAAAAATATTGATATAGATATTAATATTCCAGAAAATAATGACACTATAAAAGGATTTATATTAAATTATGGAAAATACCGATATTTCATACTCCTTGCGTGTGAACAACATACAAATATCTAAGAATTATATGTAAATCTGCATTTCTATGCATAAGAATAACTTATATACTTATGTGAATAGAATTTATGGAATACTTATATGTAACGAAAAATCGTTACTGGATATAAAAATATCTGATAACTCTGAAAACACTTCCTAAATCATTCTAAATAGTTTTCACCACATTTTAAAAGTAAATCAAGTTATCCTTGTAACTAAGTATGAAGAAATTGTTAATGATGTGCACTACGAAATCTCTTTATTTGATAAAAAAACGATTTCTAAATCATCTAAAATAGTTTACCTCACATTTCAGGAGTTAGCTTAGTCAGAAACGATTATTAATAGTTGCAGATATACGTGATATGTGTGTGTTGGAGAGCTATAAGAAATTTAATAAGTGTCAATAGTAGTAGTTTATTTTAAAGAAAATAATGTGGAAAGGTATTGGTGTTCAAGTTCTTTTTAGTCATGTACATTACAAATTTCTTATGTAAGACTACTTCTTATTCTCTAAAACAGTGGTTCCGAACCAAGAGACCAAAGACCACTAAGAAATTTTTGTTTGTTGTTTGTTGTAGGGACTGTATGAATAATGAACTGTATGATTATTTTAGTAGCCTTTATGCATCTCTGGTATAATGCATAATGAAGTTTATAAGTACATAGGTACAATAAAATATAAAATAGGTTTATATTTTATATAAAATAGGTTTATAATTACTTAGAAACTTTTTTGTACTTATTTTCAGATAAGTGAAGTCTTAGTAGATAAACTACAAGTTATGTATTTGTACCTGTGAAATTTGATTCACGGACCATTTTTAACCATCTCGTGGATCACCGGTTGGGGACCACTTCTTAAAAAAATATATTTATTACACTAATTTCAAATAATTCAAATTTGAATTTATGGATTTAATGCTATTCAGTTTAAATACTTTTTTTTAGTATTATAATTATAGCTTTCATTTGTTCTTTATCTCTGTTTGTTAATTGCTAAATCAAATTAATTAGGAAAATTCAATAAAACAGTGAGTCGCTGTCGCATATGTAAGCAAATAAAAATTGTTTGAGTTGAAATGTCATTTGAATATTGTGCTTAGCACTAACGCATTAGTAATTATTTACTACGACAATTTCTGTACTACAAATACAACAATTTTATATTTGACGAACGAAAATGGCTTTTCATATATAAGCTGGGAACTTCATAATAACAGAACCAATGTATAATATACGTACATACGTGCAGTTAATAAGTCATTATTATTCGTACTTAATATTGACTAGCTGTCTGCCTGCCTCCGGCCCCATACACAATTCCGTAAGCCATATAAATATGATGACCACGCCATTTTTCCGTTTTAGTCGAGTACAGTATTTCAACAAAAAAATTTCAATAATTTTAAGACAATGATTACCACCGGAGAAGTGAGTTATTTTAATTTAAATAAAACTTAAAACAATACAACCAAATGGGAGAGTAGTACTACATAGTGTTTTAATTAAAATCAATAAAAATTAAATTTCAAATAAGAAAATAATTACTAGTCAAGTGTCACCTAAGTAAAATTTTAAATTTCTGTGCAAGACCATTTGTCGTATGGCAAAATGGATGGATGGCTCGACAAAATAAATCGATAAGTTTAAAGTTAAAATAAAAAATGAAATGAAATAAAATAAAATTAGAATAAATCAATATTTTTCATTGTAATTATTTTCTTAAATATTGTATATCTACATATATATGTAAGATATTTTCCACGAATACGGCATTTCTCGATTTTTTATTTGTTTAATATACTCACAATTAAGATAAAATTTACTGAATAGCATTGTGTGAAACTTGTGACATTTTCGCTTTGTATATTTAATATAAAATTTATGGCTCTAAATAAAAATATATTTATCTTTCCGGTTTTCGTGATACGGTATAATATATTATTGTGTTTCAGTCACTGTTATCACAATAACGTCCTTTAACTGTTTTATAGTTTTTGACGGATATTGCAAAATATGTCACTTCGAAATATTATTAAACAGTTTTAATTTATAGTTTCCAATTATTGTATAATTTATCTAAATAAAAAAAAATATTTTTAATTTTATTTGGAAAATAGTTAATAAATTATTTTTCTCATTTTTCTTTTGTTATCTTTATATATATTTAATTTTTACTTAAATTATTTTATAAAGAAAAAGTGAATTTTTATGAAAAAACTGTATCTGCTACATTGCCTTGTATTTTCTCTGTAATAATTTTCTATAATAATGACTCAACGTGACTGGGGCAATAAGTCAACTTGATCTTATTAAGCGAATTGAAATTAATTTTGAAGCGGAAATGCACTCGGAGCTTATAATCAAATGTACGGGACTGGTAAAATTGTTAGGGAAATGAAAAAGAGTAACATAACCATTTGAGGTATTTTTCAATTTTAGATCATATAAAATATTATCTTAATTGATTAATTAGATTTACTAAACTGCTTATTTTTTGTATAATTTATTTCGGTATTAAGTTTTATTTTAATATCAGTATTTTTAACTTTCTTTGACACATTTTACTACTTTTTTTAACGAGTAATGTTCCATCAAATTATTATAATATACTAATGTTCTGCAATAAGTTTCATACTGATTGTTATATTATAAATCAAAATTTGTTATAGTTTTTATTAACTATATTTATTTTTATTATACTTATAAGTTATCTTTTAACTCAAACTTTATGTGCATAATATTCATATTTACGAATATACGCACACCTTTGGTATTTATTAAAATCGATATAAACGTTATTTTATTTAAAATGCATATGCATTTGCGCTTAATATGGCATTTACACTAGCGCCTCAAATGGTTCATTTGAAAGTGTTAACATTCGTTGTAATTCATTTGTTCTCATTATCAAACAGATGATTTTTCAACTTTGCCAAAAAAAGTAAAATATACCTTCAAATCTTACAATATAAACTAAAAATTTGTTTTTAACTTCAATTAATTTATTTTTGGGAAGAAGTTCCAAAAAGAAATGCATCGTATTCAAGAAAATGTAACCACTAAACAATTGTTTACCTTTTTTTCTGTAAATATGTCAAAAACAGCTTTCTCAAACTGTCAAAATGCCATGAAAAGCTTTTATTTAGGGTATGTTCAATGTATTCATTTGCATATGGAACATATTTGAAACTCATTCTAACCTCGTTGGAACTTATTTATACAGAATGAGATCCAGAATCCAATGGATCTCATTTGCGCTTGAGATTTTGTATGCAAAA